ACAGTCTGTAAGAAGAAAAATAATCTCATATATTGTTGGTAAGAATGAAATTAGCACAATCATTATAATGAACAATTTGTCAATATCTTTCAAAATTATAAAAAATTAGCTATACAATAAAAAGAGTATTTAGCAATAAAAAGGACTGAAGTACTGTTACATGCTATAATATAGATGAAACTTGAAAACTTGCTAAGCAAAAAAACACCAACCACCAAAGTCCATGTTGTATGATTCTATTTACATGAAGTGTCCAAAACAGGCAAATCTAAAAAGACAGAAAGTGGATTAGTGGTTGCCTAGGGTTGAAAGATTGGAGGAAAATGAGGAGTAACTGCTAGCAGGTACAGAGGTGGTTTTGGGGGTGATATAAATGCTCTGTATTTAGATACAGGCAGGCCTAGTTTTATCTTAGTTCACAGGTGTTGTACTGCTTACAAATGGAAGTCAACACCTTCCACCAGCAAAACGATTATGACTCACTTTATTGAGACTCATTATTACGGTGGTCTGGACCCGAACCCACAATATCTCCGAGGTCAGCCTAGAGTAGTGATGGTTGCATAACTTGGTGAGTGTACTAATGAGAGACTGAATATGAAAATGGACGATGATGACACCATATACAAAACAGAACCCACAATCTGCAGTACTCAGCCCAGGAAACCTAGTATCTACAGTAACCAACCCAGAAGCCCACCTGCTATCTATAAGGCAGACTTGTAGGAAGTCAGAGCACCACCTCTAACTATCGACCCAGGAAGCCAAACAATACCCTGTAACAACTGGCCCCAGACAGCCAGAACTTGATTAGTAACTGACAGCTTCTCTAACCTTTGTCCCTTCTTACAGCTTAGGATCAACCAGAGAAACCCAGATGTGCACCTAACTAATAACATAGAATGCTTGGCTTCTAGTGAGTACACTCCAAATCCCAATGCTAAGAGCTGTCAATCGAGGCACACCTGAGCCTTTCCTTTTTCTCATTACGAATCTTTCACTCTCCTCTGCCTGCCTTTGAGTCTCTGCCAAAATGCAAGTGATGGTGGCTGACACATATGCTATACCTAGCTCTGGATAGCCTTTGCTTATTCTCATTTGATTGGTCTTTTTTTTTTTATCTCGAACTAAAAACCATTGACTTGTACAGTTTCTTGTTTTCTTTAATCCTCACCTGAGAATATTTTTTCCCATTTATCTTCAGGCAGAGTGGGAGGGAGGAGGGAGAGAAAGAGAAATATTGATGTGAGAGAGATACATTGACTGGTTGCCTCCCCCATGACCCTGACCAAGGCGGGGGACCAAATCAACCAAGGTACCTTCCCTTGACTGAAACCAAACCAGCAACTCTTTGCTCCGCGGGCTGACCCTCTAACCGCTGAGCAAAACTCTAACCAAAGGCAACTTGTACACCTTCAAGAGATGAATTGCGTACTATTTGAATTATATCCCAATAAAGCTGTTAAAAAAATGAACCTTTTCAGTAAAATCTCAGACATATCATGTGGCAGTATTTTCACCAAAACATCTCCTATGGCAAAGGAAACAAAGAAAAAATAAACAAAGAGGACTACATCAAACTAAAAAGCTTCTGCACAGCAAAAGAAACCAACAACAAAATGAAAAGGGAACCCACTGTGTGGGAAAACATATTTGCCAATGATACATCGGATAAAGTGTCAATTTTCAAAATATATAAAGAACTCATGCAACTCAACACCAGGAAGACAAACAATCTAATTAAAAAATAGGCAAATGACCTGAATAGACACTTCTCTGAAGAGGACATACCGATGGACAATAGGCATATGAAAAAGTGCTCAACGTTACTAATCAGCAGAGAGATGCAAATTAAAATGACTATGAGGTATCACCTCACACCTGCCAGAATGGCTGCCATCAACAAATCAACCAACAAGTGCTGGAGAGGGTGCGGAGAAACCCTCTCCAGTACGGAAACCTAGTTCCGTGCTGGTGGGAATGCAGACTGGTGCAGCCACTATGGAAAACTGTATGAAGGTTTCTCAAAAAATTAAAAATTGAACTGCCATTTAATCCAGCGATCCCACTTCTGGGACTATATCCTAAGAATCCTGAAACATTAATCAGAAAGAATATATGTACCCCCATGTTCATAGCAGCACTATTTACAATAGCTAAGATCTGGAAACAGCCCAAGTGCCCATCAGTCAATGAGTGGATATAAAAAATTTTTAAAAAGTGAGGCTATAAAAAAGAAGGGCCCCAGACATTTTGTGACGGCACAGATGGACCTGGTGATTACATACTAAGTGAAAGAAGCCTGTCAGAGAATAACAGGAATCACATGATCTCACTTATATGTGGAATCTAATGAACAAAATAAACTGATGAATAAAATAGGTCCAGAGACACAGACGCATGGAACAGACTGACAGATCTCAGAGGGGACTAGGGTAGGGGCATTGGAAGCAATTAACCAAACAACGTATATGCATATATGCATAGTCCATCGGCACAGAAAATAATGTGGTGAAGGCCTGGGGTGGTGTGGGGACTGGGTGGAGGGGGACAAAGGGGGAAAATGTGTAATACTGTCAACAATAAAAAATGAGCCTTTTGCCCTGGCCAGTTTGGCTCAGCGGTTAGAGCGCTGGCCTGCGGTCCGGAGAGACCCAGGTTCGGTTCCCGCTAAGGGCATGTACCTCAGTTGCAGTTTGTCCCCGGCTCTGGTTGGTCGTGCGGGTGGCAGCCACTCGATGTGTCCCTTCACGTCGATGTTTCTCTCTCTCTCTCCCTCCCACTCTATCTGTACAAAAAATCAGGTTCGGTTCCCGCTAAGAGCACGTACCTCGGTTGCAGTTTGACCCCGGCCCTGGTTGGGTGGTGTGGGTAGCAACCACTCAATGTGTCCCTTTCATGTCAATGTTTCTCTCTCTCTCTCTCCCTCCCACTCTATCTGAACAAAATATCGAAAGGTGTCCTCGGGTGAGGATTAAATATATATATATATGGGACAGGGAGCCCTGGCCAGTTTGGCTCAGCAGTTAGAGCATTGGCCCACAGACCAGAGAGACCCGGGTTCAGTTCCCCCTACCGGCAGGTACTTAGGTTGCAGTTTGTCCCTGGCCTCGGTTAGGGTCGTGTGGGTGGCAGCCACTTGATGTGTCTCTCTCACATTGATGTTTCTCTCTCTCTTCCTCCCTCCAGCTCTATCTGAAGATAAATACAAGAATGTCCTTGGGTGAAGATAAAAAAAAATAATAATAATAAAATAAAAAAATAAATAAAATGGGGGACAGGGAGAAAGAAAATGTTTCTACATAAATATATTTTTTAAGCCTCACCCGAGAACATTTTTGCATTTATCTTCAGAGAGAGCAGGAGGGAGAGAGGAAGAAAGAGATAGAGAAAAACATCAATGTGAGAGAGACACATCGACTGGTTGCCACCCGCACAACCCAACCCAGGGTGGGGACGAACCACAACCGAGGTACGTGCCCTTAGTGGGAACCGAACCCAGGTCTCTCTGATCCGTGGGTCAACCACTGAGCCAAACCGGCCAGGGCTCTCTACATATTTTTAAATTTTTATTTCAATTTAAAATTATGTGACCATATTAACTTTCTAATAATAATGAATAAAAGAAGAACTAAAAGGATTGACATGGTTTTTAAAGGTAAAAGGGTTTGTACTATGAAAGCTACAAACAGAAAGAATAAAAGTGTTGGCTCCGAGGAAGTGTGATGGGACAGGGGTGGGGTAAAGTGGGAGGTCCCTGGTTTTTATTATAAACTCCACTCTTTTTTTTTTTCTTTCTGCTTTTGTGAACAAAAAATGGGCTACACAGCAGCCCTGACAAACCCTGTCAGGGAATTACATGGCAGCCCTGACTAGTTCAGTGACCAAAAGTAACCTCTGGTGAGGATTAACAACAACAACAAAAACAAAGAGCAACATATTCAGGAAAGACTACAAAAAAATAAATGAAGAGCCTGGCTGGTGTGGCTCACTCGTTGAGTGTTGACCCATGCACCAAGAGGTCACGGGTTCTATTCCTGGTCAGGGCACATGCCCAGGTTGTGGGCCCAATCCCCAGTGGGGGGCGTGCAGGAAGCGGCCAATTGATGTTCTCTCTCATCGATGTTTCTATCTCTCTCCCTCTCCCTCTCTTTCTCTCTAAAATCAATAAAGGGCCCTGACCGGTTTTGCTCAATGGTTAGAGCGTCGGCCTGCGGTCCAGAGAGACCCGGGTTCGGTTCCCACTAAGAGCCCGTATCTCGGTTGCAGTTTGTCCCCGGCCCTGGTTGGGTCGTGCGGGTGGCAGCCACTCAATGTGCCCCTTTCACGTCAATGTTTCTCTCTCTTTCTCTCCCTCCCACTCTATCTGAACAAAAAAATAAAAGGAAAAAAAGAAAAGATAAAAAAAGTAAAATAAAATCAATAAAGGGAAAAACATTTTTTTAAAATAAGTGAATAAAAGATGAAATCGTTTAGTAAAGTTGGTTGTTGCCTTAAATAGGGGGGGAGGGGGTAAAAATAAATTCATAATAAATAATAACCCAGAACTGAAAACCTAGAAAATACCAACAGGGTTGCAATAGGAAGAGACCAATGAATGTGAGAGTATGCTAATTTCTTATCTTATTTAGGGAGAGATATCAATATCAGTTATTTGTAAAATAGAGACAGAATTTAAAAGAAACATAAAATAGGTAAACAAACCTATAATAATAATAAGTATAAAAATAATAAGTTAAGATGGTAAAAGTAGATCCAAATTCATGACTAATTATAATAAATGTGAATAGAAAAAAAATCACCATTCATCAAGTTTATTGACATATATCCAGATATATCCTGTTTACCTAAAATCTGAGGATATGCAAAGTTTGAAGGTAAAAGAGATGGAAACAACATTTATGGCAAACATTAGCTAAAATAAAACTGGTATGTCTACATGATATCAGGTAAAAAGAAGCCTTTAGATAAGAACACATTTTTAGAGATGGAAACGCTACATGAATGACACAGATGTATGCTATTTGTTCCATTGAACTGAAATTCTAAAGCAGGAAACATATGGCATGAAGGATCTGAGCAGCCAGGAGTCCTTCTTGCCAGGAGGAGATTGGCTGGGAAAGAGCATGAGAGGACTTGTGAAGTGACGGCAAGTTGTGACCCACCTGACCAGGTTTGGGTTGCACAGGACTATGCACTTGCTAGAACTCATCACGTGCACTTCAGCACTGTGCATTTCATCATGTGTAAATCCTACCGGAAAAAAATAACCAAAAAGAACCATGAGCAAAAGCTGAACTCCTATTAGTCATGTCTAGCTTGAAGTCTTTCTGAGGAAGTGTAATGACGTCTGAAAATTAGTCTGAAATGGGGGAAGGAAAAATGGCGGCGGAGTGAACGGAGCTACACAGACCGTCTCCCAGAACCAAACTGGAATTACAACTATAACACAGACAAATCGACAGGAAAAACCAACAGAAAAGCAGCCTGCGAGGACCATACAACGAAGGATCCCGGTAGGCTTGCGAAGGAGCGAGACGGGGCTGGGAGCCCACGGTCGGCAGCTCGGCAGCGGCCTCAGCTGGGAGCGGCGCCCTCAGGTTACACTCCCAGGCGGCCCCACAGCGCAGCCGGGACAGAGGCTGAAACAGCCACAGCCACTCACCTTGGGCTCCGGCAGAGGGAGGGCGGACTGGACTGGAGCTGTGTCGGGACGCTCGGGGTTTGGAGGGCACTCAGAGCTTTGGCTGAGTGCAGCCACGCAGGACGGTGGCCACATTGCTCCTTCCCAGGGCTCTGGGGAGAGGCAGCAGCCCCTCCCTCGGAGATCCAACCCCAGCCTGTGGGCCATTGAAGTGCTAATTGAGGCTCACTAACAACCAGCATCTGCCCCACCCTCGTGAAAGCCCCTTGGCTGAGCACCAGAGGGAGTTTTTCAATCAACTGACAACCCAAAACTCATCAATTAACCTAGACTGCTAGTCTCCAGGCAAAAAGCTAGAGGATAACAGTACGTTTCCTGGGCTGGCAACTTTAACCAGGAAAGTAAGACTTGACAGTGGTGTTCAACGCGGGTCCTCCCTCGCTCATCTAAACCCAGGAGAGGGAGCCACAAACAGCAGAACACCAACACCCACAGGGAGAACTTGACAGGCTCCAAAGCCCACAGTGATAGCTAAAATGGTGAAACACAGAAACAGAAGCCAAATGAAAGAGCAAGACACCTCCACCGAAGATGAGATCAATGTGGAGCAATTAGGCATGTTAACAGAGCTAGAATTCAGAGCCATGATCTTGAGGAAGCTGAACAGCATGAGTAAGGACATAGAGACACTGAAAATAAGCCAAATGGAAATTAAAAACCAACAAGAAGAGATAAAAAATGACATATCCGAAATGAAAAACACATTGGAAGGTTTAAAAAGCAGAGTAGGGGAAGCTGAGGACCGGATCAGTGAATTAGAAGACAGGGTAGAAAAAATCAACCAATCAGAAAAACAAAAGGAAAAAACTATTAAAAAACAGGAAGACAGCTTAAGAGAACTATGGGACAACTGGAAACGTAATAATATTCGCATCATAGGAGTCCCTGAAGAAGAAGAAAAGGAGCAAGGGATAGAGAATATATTCAAAAAAATAGTGAGAGAAAACTTCCCTAATTTGGTGAAGGAAGAAGGCATTTAAGTTCAAGAAGCACAGAGAGTCCCAAGTAAGAAGAACCCAAACAGGCCCACACCAAGACACATAGTAATTAAAATGCCACAAATTAAAGACAAAGAGAGAATCCTAAAAGCAGCAAGAGATAAGCAACAGGTTACCTACAAAGGGAACCCCATAAGGCTCTCAGCTGACTTCTCACATGAAAATTAGTCTGAAATGTACCCGAGCAAATGGGTGGATAGCAAATGGATGGTGAAATAGGTATGTGACAACGCAAGCAGTATAGTAAAGTGTAAAAGGTAGAGTCTTGATGGTGGGTACCTGGGTGTTCACTGTAAAAGCTTCACCTTTCCTGATGTTTGAAAATTTTCATAATAAAGTGTAGGGGAACAATGCCAATGATCCAAACTTCCATTGGGAAATTAAATAATGGTACATGCACGTACTGGGATGAAATTTAGTGCAACGACAACAAAAAAAGTGTTCCCTCGAGGATATGTGAGGAGGGATGGAGTGGGGGACACTTCTGCTTTTTATTACTTGCACAGTTCTATTGTCTTTCTATGTGTTTACATTACTTCAGTTATAATAAAAAGACTACAAATAAAAAGTGAGGATTACAGGAAATTTTCAAAATGAAAGATAAGTGATATTTTCTTTGGGAATATCTCTACTATGTATCTAGCTAGGTAATGTACTTGATTCTGCAAACTGATTACCCTTCCAAAATATAACCAGGTTTTAAATTATTCACCATGACCAAGTGAGATTCATCCCAGGGATGCAAGTCTGGTACAATAGTCACAAATCAATAGATGTGATACACCACATAAAAAAAATGAAAAATAAAAATCATATGATCACATCAATGGACTCTGAAAAAGCATTCGACAAAATCCAGCACCCATTTCCGATAAAAACGCTCAGCAATCTGGGAATAATGGGACCATATCTTGACATAATAAAGGCCATATATGAAAAATCTACAGCCAACGTCACACTCAATGGGCAAAAACTAAAAGCATTTCCCTTAAGAACAGGAACAAGACAAGGATGCCCACTTTCACCACTCTTATTTAACATAGTACTGGAAGTCTTAGCTACAGCAATCAGACAGGAAGAAAAAATAAAAGGGATCCAAATTGGAAAGGAGGAAGTGAAACTGTCATTATTCGCAGATGACATGATACTATACGTAGAAAACTCCAAAGACTCCATCAAAAATCTACTAGACTTAATACATGAATTTGGCAAAGTAGCAGGATACAAAATTAATGTCAAGAAATTGATGGTATTCTTATACACCAATGATGAACTCACAGAAAGAGAAACTAAAAAACAATTTCATTTACCATCACAGCAAAAAAATTAAGATACCTAGGAATACACTTAACCAAAGAAATAAAGGACCTATTAGCAGAAAACTACAGATCATTGAAAAAAGAAATAGAGGAAGATATAAAAAAGTGGAAGCACATACCTTGTTCATGGATTGAAAGAATTAACATCATTAAAATGTCCATACTACCCAAAGCAATCTATAGATTCAATGCAATCCCCATCAAAATACCAATGACATACTTCACAGAACTAGAACAAATACTTCAAAAGTTCATATGGAACCAAAAAGACCCCGAATAGCCACAGCAATCTTGAAAAGGAAGGACAAAGTTGGAGGGATCACATTACCAGATTTCAGGTTATACTACAAAGCCACTGTAATCAAAACAGCCTGGTACTGGTACAAGAACAGGCAGATAGATCAATGGTACAGAATAGAGAACCCAGAAATGGACCCAAGGCAATATGCTCAATTAATATTTGACAAAGGGGGCAAGAGTATTCAGTGGAGTAAAGACTGCCTCTTTAATAAATGGTGTTGGGAAAATTAGACAGCTACATGCAAAAAAATGAAACTAGACCATCAACTTACACCATATACAAGAATAAACTCAAAATGGATAAAATACTTAAATGTGACTCATGAATCCATAAAAATCCTAGAAGAAACTGTAGGCAACAAAATTTCAGACATCATACGCAGCAGAATTTTCACTGATATATCACCTAAGCCAACAAAAACAAGGGAGAAAATGAACACATGAGACTACATCAAACTCAAAAGCTTCTGCACAGCAAAAGATACAATCATCAAAATGAAAAGGCAACCCACTGTATGGGAGAGCATCATTGCCAATGATATATCAGATAAGGGGTTAATTTCCAATATATAGAGAGTGTTCATACAACTCCACAAAAGGAAAACAAAGAACCCAATTAAAAAATGGGCAGAGGAACTAAATAGACACCTCTCCAAAAAGGACATACAAATGGCTAAAAGACATATGAAGAAATGCTCAACATCACTAATCATCAGAGAGATGCAAATTAAAACACCAATGAGGTATCACCTCACACCGGTCAGAATGGCCGCCATCAACAAATCATCAAACAACAAGTGTTGGCGAGGGTGTGGAGAAAAGGAGACTCTAGTACACTGCTGGTGGGAATGCAGACTGGTGCAGCCACTATGGAAAACACTATGGTGTTACCTCAAAAAATTAAAAATTGAATTGCTATTTGACCCAGTGATCCCACTTCTAGGAATATACCCTAAGAAGCCTGAAACACCAACCAGAAAGAATATATGTACCCCCATGTTCATAGCAGCACTATTTACAATAGCTAAGATCTGGAAACAGCCCAAGTGTCCATCAGTAGACGAATGGATAAAAAAGCAGTGGTACATATACACAATGGAGTACCATGCAGCTGTAAGAAAGAAAGATCTCTTATCCTTTGAGACAACATGGAGGGACCTGGAAAGTGTTATCCTAAGCGAAACAAGCCAAACAGAGAAAGACAAGTATCATATGATCTCACTTATTTGTGGAATATAATGAACATAACAGTCTGAAGAAAGGGGTAGTCCCAGAGACGTGGAAGTGGGGTAGAGACTGACAATACCCAGAAGAGGGGGTGGGGGGGAGAGATAAACCACAGAATTTATATGCATGTATGCATGAACAATGGACATGGACAACAAAGCTGGGGACAGGGTGGGGAGGAAGGGGGAGGGGGTATCAGTGGGGGGGGAGGAGAAACATCTGTAACAAAAGTTAATTAATTAAATTCATAATAATAATAATAATAATAATAACAACAACAAAATATAACCAGGTTTTGTTTGGAGGCAGGGTAGACCAGCCATTATTTTGAGACTGGTGGTATTAGTTCTCTTTAAGCCACAAACTCAGTGGCTTAAAACAAGCACAGTTATCTCACAGTTTTTGTGGGCCAAGAATCCAGGCATACAGTCAAGCACCGGTCAGAAATTAAGTTGGACACATGTCACAGGTCTAAGAGCAATACCTGTGTTTGAAGTACTTTGGAAGTTTACTTGTCATTTTCTGTGTAGAACTGGCTTGTGGTGTTTGGACATATGAACAGGAAATTATGGTTCCAGTACAGTGGTCAGACATGGTCACTTTGAAAGCCAGAATGACAAATTATGGCTTACCTAGATACCAGTGGCTTACTCATGCTTGGAATTTTCTTCAGAGAGAGTTCAAGTGCTGTGGAGTGGTGTATTTCACTGACTGGTTGGAAATGACAGAGATGGACTGGCCCCCAGATTCCTGTTGTGTCAGGGAATTCTCAGGATGTTCCAAACAGGCCCACCAGGAAGATCTCAGTGACCTTTATCAAGAGGGTTGTGGGAAGAAAATGTATTCCTTTTTGAGAGGAACCAAACTACTGCAGGTGCTAAGGTTTCTGGGAATCTCCATTGGAGTGACACACATCCTGGCCATGATTCTCACCATTACTCTGCTCTGGGCTCTCTATTATGATAAAAGGGAGCCTGGCACAGACCAAATGATGTCCTTGAAGAATGACACGACTCAGCACCTGTCATGTCACTCGGTGGAACTGTTGAAACCAAGCCTGACGAGGATCTTTGAACATACATCCATGGCAAACAGCTTTAATACACACTTTGAGATGGAGGAATTATAGAGAATGTGAAAAAAGGAAACAAGTTTATTTTATTTTACTTGTGAATTTTTGAGCACACAATTGTTTCAGAAATGTGTAGAAATAAAAATGTTGCCATGAAACAATGCCTAAGCATGTAATTTTGTACCCTTTAAAATGAAGAGGGAAAAGTTCCATATACTGTGTCACCACCTGGACAATAGTTGATACCTTTTATAATGCTGAGGACAGATCTAATACCCACTTTATAGCTTGTGTAAGATTTTTACTAAACATAGTTATGCTTTGGTACAGATTGACCAGTATTTCTGCATGTAAATGAGCCCTGCTGTGATGGCAGTGAACTACAGTACAGTTTGATTGACTTCCGTAGGCTTGCTAGTATATAAAGCACCAATTAACTGCTAATAGGGAGTTAGTACTACTAATGATTTTTATTTCTTGGTGATATATTCCTTTGAGGGTAAAATAGATTAGACATAAGAAAATTCTGAAGATTGGTGGCTACCTAAATGTGATTTTTGCTAGTTACTAAAATATTCTTACTACTTACAAGAGCAAACTAAAACATTGTCTTAAACTGATCAGGGATCTATGTGTATGTGAGAGTCTGTGTTAAGTCTGTATAATTCAGTAGATTTCAGTTCTTGTAATGTTAATAACAATTGCGAAAAGAATAAATTTGATCTGTATAACACCATTATTTTTAACCTTTCCTATTAATTGAGTTTTAAAATTCTGTCTTGGTTTTATATTACACACACAACTGTTAATTTAAATATTTAGCCACTAATTTTGAAAAATTGCTAGTGTGTTACAAAAGGAATCATTATAATTCAGAATGTAGTCTGGTCTCCAGGGAGTATTAACAAGAAAGTTTACACATAACTTGGTTCATTTAGCAAAGACTTGGATACTATCTTTCTCCCAAACTCACTCTTTTTGACACTAAACATTTTTTTTAGAGAAGCTTATCTTTGCCTTCTCCAAACAAGAAGCAAGGGACAGAATCCAAGTCTGAATATAATTCTACAGAGAACAGTATTACCTTTCTCCAGCAAAATGCTGTGAGAATCATAAAAATAAGCAACAACTAGATAAGTTCTTAGCTTTATTTCACTGATTAAGATACTATGGTGAATTACACAGATTATTAAATTTTTACAAGAGTAAAATATATTTATTTGAAATGGGAAAAGTGCACTTTATTGTATTTTGTGGATTATGTTTATTTCTCAGAAAATGGAGAGAAAAGTAAAACTTGTCAATAAATATTTTCTAGAGAAAAAAAAAGAATCCAGGCATAGCTCAGTGGCATTCTCTGTTTCAATGTCTCTCATAAGACTACAGCCAAGGTGTCAACCAAGGCTGAGGTCTCATCTGAAAGTTCGGCTATGGAAGGACCTGCTTCCAAGCTCACTTACGTGGTGGGTGGTAGAATTAAGTGTCTTTGGGTGGTTGGGCTGAGGGCCTCAGTTCCTAGGTGACTGTTGGCCTGAGGCCTCCCTCAGTTCTTTGCCACATGGCCTTCCTAACCTGGCACCTGGCTTCATCCAAGCCAGCAAGGGAGAGAGTTGGCTAGCAAGATGGAAGTTACAATCTTATGTAATCTAATCGGAAAAGTGACATCCCGTCATCTTTTCTATTAGTGCAAAGCAAGTCTCAGTTCCCACCCAAACTCAAGGGGAGGGAATTACACAAGAGCATGGGCACCAGGAGGAGGGCATCTTGCATCTGTCTGCCACCGTGACCCCACGTGGGTCTACCCTCCATGTTCTAGGTTCTCCATATTAACAGCAGAAGCCAGGAATTCTGGTTGAAAATTCTTTTTTCACAGAGAAAATCCTTGACCCTCAATAGAATATTTAACCTCTTTCAAAGTTCACATCAATAGAAAGAAAAGTTCCTTCACCGAAGTTAACATTTTTTTCTAAGACCAATTATTCTTGCAGGTAAGAGCTGTCTCATAACCAGCGACCGATATCGTGCCATCTCCTGAGTCTCTCTCGCACTCAGTGTCCTTTCTGCCTTCTGTGTTTTAAGCCCCGAGAACAACAGCCTCCTCACCCATCTTCATGCCTCCAGGTTGAGTCTCAGCCACCTGCCCACCCCACAGCTACAGGAGTGACTTCCAATTTGCAAATCTGATCCTATCCTAGGCTCTAAATCCTTCCCTGTCTCCCTTGTACTTGTGGGACAAGTTCTAGAGTCCTTGGCATATCCTGAAGGGCTGGTTCATAATCTGGCTTCTGCCCAACTGTCCACTCCCATCTGCCAAATGTCATTCTATTTTTTTGCAATTCAGGCTCCAGTAACAGGCATTCACCTGCTTTCTCCAGGAAGCACACACCTTTCCAAGCTGCCGCGCCTTTACTTGTTTTCTCTTCTAATAGTCTTTTATTGTTTTATGTCCTCATACAAGGACATTTTTCTATTAATCTTCAGATAGAGTGGGAGGGAGGGAGAGAGAGAGGGAAACATCGATGTGAGAGAGACACACCGACTGGTTGCCTCCTGCACGACCCCAACCAGGGCCGGGGTCGAACCGCAACCGAGGCACGTGCCCTTGATCAGAATCAAACCCGCGACTCTTTAGTCAGCGGGCCGACATGCTAAGTGCTGGGCCAAACCAGCCAGGGCTCCCTTCTAATATTCTTGTCCCTAGTATTTCCTGAAAAACTTCTGTTCATTCTTCAAATTTTACCTCAAATGTCACTTCATGGTGGTCAAGAGCCAGGATTCCAGGCGAAGATGGACTGAAGCCCACGGCGACAGGGACAGAGGAGCACTTTCTTCCTAGAGGTTTGTATTTCAAAGGGATCGCTTCCTGGTCTTTGAAAAAATGGTATGTCTGGATTGTGAAGCTGATAAAAGGCTAACTCAGGAGGAGGCTTATAAAATGTATATTACATTAATTACTACATTAAAATGTGTGTGTGTGCGTGCGCCTTCATGCCTATGTTCTTCACTAAGTGGGACCCAGTGCAAACTGCAAAATGTTTAGAATCCTTTGCCCCACCACAAAATACCAGCAATGCCAACCCTGCCTTCCACCCTCACCCCAAGCACGTGGCAGTAACAAGAGAAAGAGAGTGAGGAGGGAGGGAGGAAGAGAAGAACAGAGAAAACTCCTCACAGGTTTTCAAACACCTTCTGGATGCTCAGGTGACCAGTTCTTCTGGACTTGCTCAGAAAGTTCCCCTTTAACTTTCCTGGTTTTATTCTTGAAAGTGTGTCCCAAAAACTCTGTCAACTCCAGGCAAACAGGGATTGTTGGTCACCCTAACCACCCCATATACGCGTGCGCACACACACACACGCACATGCACACGCACACGCACACCATGTAATTATGTGCAGGTAGCACTGGGTTTGGACTACAGTTCAGTCCCTTCCCAGCTCTGTGACTAAGCAAGTGTCTTAACAGCTTAGGTGGGTAGCTCTTTTGTGTGTTCAGTGGAATCGTGTATGCAGGCAGGTGTGAGAATTCAGCCCCGAATGAACGCCTCACCCCATCTGTGAGCTCAGGCCTCGGTTCCCCGAAGCTCCCGTGCCGATTTTCATTTCTCTCTTCTTTACAGAAATTAGCTTACTGTGCCCCAAGTGGCACTATATCTGGGTCCCTTTGTGAGCAACAGGTGCCTTTGCATTCCTACTGCAGTGGCCGGCAGGTAGGAGGCGCCTGGTGAGGACTGTTAATAGCTGTTCAATGAATGCCCTAACTCAGCTGTGCCTTGGTCAGAGCTCCCGTTGTGAGGTCACAGTGCTCCTCGTCGGGCTTCCTTGACTGAATGTTTTCTCAGGATGACCGTCACCACCAGCATGGGCACAAATGACCCCCACTTCCTGGGTGTACATGTTTACGGTGGGAGCTGCATGAGCCTGCCCCAGGGGTGTGATTTCAAAAGGACTCTATTCACCCAAGCGTGTCCACCGTGGGCTCCTAACCAGTGCCTCAGTCTCTCTTCCTTGTGCAAGTGGCTGAGGTCTCGGCCATTTCCTCCTGGGTGGGAACCCCTCAACTGGATTCAGTCTTGAGAGGGGCTTGGAAGGCGGAGGGTGGGGAGACCAAGAAGGCAGTGGCCCTGGAGAAAGTCAAGGGCATCAGCGGTCATAAGCAGGTTCCCCGGGCCCCTGACACAGACAGCGACCTCCTCACACTGTCTCCAGGTACAGGCCCTGAGACTCCCTGTCACACATGTAGTGGGCTGCTACCCCCGCCTCAGCTTTATGATTTACCCATTCCTGAGGGCAGAGACTCTGACACAGTGCTGAGTACATAGCAGTTGCTTCAAAAAATTCTGCTCGAATAGATCATTGTTCCCAAATGACACTCTGTAGTGATATTGTTGATAGAATGAGACATTGATTACTTTTATAGAATGCACCCCCCAGAATTAAATAATTTACCAGTGTAGGACATGGTCAGTGTCCTTGAGGGCAGCTTTAACCGACAAATCACTGTGAGTGCCCCAAACAAGGGAGTCGTTTAGCTGAGCTGGGGGAGGTGAGGTGTAGAAGGGTCTGTGGTCCAGAAAAGGAACGGGGGTAAACTTAGATGACAGGACTGAGTTAAAATAATGCTGCAAAGCCAACAAGTGCCCCTCCTGAAACTGTTGTGCCCAGCAGATGCGACTGGCCACCCTCACACCCTTTATCTCACCACATTTTCAATTCAATTTGAAACTAATTTTTATCAGAGAAATCAGTAGAGTTTCCAGGTAAAATATCATATGCCCAAATGTGTTCCAAATATTGCATGGGACTTATACTAAAAAAGTTGCTCATTATTGCCCTGGCCAGGTGGCTCAGTGGGTTGGAGCATCATCCCATACGCCAGCACCTCAATGTTTTTCTCCTTCTTTCTCATTTCCTCTCTCTAAAATCAACAAAAAACATATCCTCGGGTAAGGATTTAAAAAATTGTTCATTATTTATCTGGAGTTCAAATGTAACTGAGTTTTCTGTGTTTTATTCACTAAATCTGGCAATGCTAGTCAATGAGGTGTGGGGTTCATTTCATGGAATCCACGTCCCAGACTACCTCCACGGAAATACCTTTAAAGAGATACAACCCTTAACTTATGCGTACACACATCAGACAACAAAAGGCAGAGAATAATTCTTCCTTTAATGTATTTCACGTCACTTTGACAACCATCATGTCAAACTGATATTCTCAGTTACAAGCCCCACTAGTTTTATCAATGGGACAGATGAGGCCTCATGTTTGAGAACGACCTCGGGGTTGATCTGAAGCATTAGAAGCCATGTCTCTTGAAGTATTTGGCTCGTGCAAGGACATCATTGCAGAAGTCACAGTTCAGGTCCTGGCTGCTTCTGACGTAGGTAGGACCTCCCACGTAGGCACAGAGTCCACCTGGAATTTGTGGGACAGTTAATGCTAACCTCACAGCCCTCGTTGCTTCAGGGTGCTCAGCAGCTAATTTAGATTCTCTTTCCTCATGCTTATGAGAAGGCAGCTGAAGTTTTGGGGGATCTAGCACAATGTATGACATTTGTCTTTCTTGTTCCACCGACCCATGGGCTCCACCTACCTCTCAGGCACTGGTCGGGGGCCCAGGTTGGGAACCTCCTCTGGATTTCTTTGATTCTAACAGTGAGGGCCTCCGTCATCTGGGAAAGCTGGGACTCGCTGATCCAGGCCGTGGGAGCGTAATGGCCAGTGTCCTAGAGGGAGGGAGGCAGAGGAGAAGCCAGGTCAGCCAGGTGGGAGCGTGACATGGCTTTCTACCTCAGTGCTGTCTCGTTCTCCCTCTTTCTCTCCTCCTCCTTTGGAAGAACCAATGCCACCTTCAGTCTCCCTGGGGACAAATAGTAAAGCTACAAGGTTTGGGCAAAGGAAGGAAGGAGTGGACATTTCCCTGCTGTCTCGCTGCATTGGTGAGAGGCAGGGCTGGAAGCCAAGGCGGACAGGGAGGAGAGGTTCCAGTCTGATGCCCTCCTTCGACACTGCAACCACAAACCCTCCAACTAGGTCAGAAAGGGTTTTTCCTAAACCCTTTGCTTGTAATTATCCTTCCAGATCATCGGAAGGTCTAAAGGTGGCACTAACTTTTCTTCCATATCTTCGGTTACCACTGCAGGTACGTTTCATCGTATTTAGAAGGACTACCTGACTCTAGGGAATTCTGTCTTCATCTTCACAGGAGATGGACTCATCCTTTCCCCAAGAACAAGGTTTCACAAAGGAGGCAGAACAGGGGGAGGGGGCGTGATGTGGGCTCTGAATCACCCCAGTTGCCCTTGGTCCCAGGCTGCATTTTCCAGCTGCCATGTGACTTCGCAGCAATGACAGTCTCCTCCTAAATGCACTTCCTCGTCTGCCCCAATTCATCAGATTACTGGATGGATCCCCAAATCAAAATAAGATAAAATATTTAAAATTACTTTTTAGCCCTGTCTGGTTTGGCTTAGCGGTTGGGGAGTTGGCCCACAAACCAAAGAGTCATGGGTTCAATTCCCAGTCAAGGACACGTACCTTGGTCTCAGGTTCAACCCCCAGCCCTGGTCAGGGTTGTGCAGGAGACAACCAATCAATGTTTCTCTCTCTCTCTCTCTCTCTCTCTCTCTCTCTCTCCCCCTCCCTTTCTCCCACTCTATCTAAAAAATTAATGGAAAAATACCCTCAGGTGAGGATTTTAAAAAAGAAAGTACTTTTAAATTATAAAGTCTCATACAAAGTACTAAGGGGAAACCAATGTAAAGATCATTGAGGAATACATTTTCCTAAAAGCTTAAAAAATGACTGCAGCCTGGCCAGTATGGCTCAGTGGATTGAGCATCATCCCATGGACTGAGAGGTCCCCGTTAGATTCCCAGTCAGGGCACATGCCCAGGTCGTGGGCTCAATCCCCAGTGGGGGGCATGTAGGAGGCAGCCAATCAATGTTTTTGTCTCTCTCTCCCTTCCTCTCTCTCTAAAAAATCAGTAAAAACATATTTTTAAAAAAAGGACTGCAATACTTACAGGTTTCTCAACAACTACAACAATGTAAAATGTAATAGGAAAAAATATGGCCTCAGCATCTCCCCTATCGTTACCCATTCTCTCTACGCCGAGTTAACTTGACAGTGGGTTAATTAATGACCAGGTCCTTGGAAGTCTCTATCAGACAACAAGTGAAGCCAGACAGATTTCTGCAAGAATAAAACTTGAAGCCCTGGCCAGGTAGCTCAGTTGGTTAGAGTGTTATCCAGATACACCAAGGTTGCAGGTTTAATCCCTGGTCAGGGCACATACAAGCATCAATCAATGAATGCATAAATAAGTGGAAAAACAAACTGATGTTTCTCTCTCTCTCTCTCTCTTTCTAAAAAAAAAAAATCAATAAGTAAAAAGTAAAAATAAACAACAATTTGACTTTAAGAACTAAGAATAGTGTAGAAAAAGAAATTTGATATTTGTTGAGAATATACAAAATGCCAAGTACTTTTTCACAGTATTTCATTGAATCTTCATAACAATTCTGAGGATAGCATTTTATAGATGAGGAAACTGAGGCCCAGGGAGATTAAATGCTCCATCCAAGGTTACATAATTATAAAATAACAGAGCAAGGATTCAATCTGTGATATTTCTCCTGCGTGGCCTTACTGGAAATCCAGAATCGGTACCAATGATGGCACCTGGGCACACAGCATCATTTACTTTGAAAGCAATTGTGGCTCAAAATGAAGCGGAAATGGTGCTGCCCGTCCCCCTCGGGCAGAGCTGGGCTCTCAGGGCTCCCAGGAGCCTACGGGGCTGTGCCCCAGGGGTGCCATCCACACAACAGATGTGAAGGGGTCATTTTGGAGCTGTGCCATGCAGCACAGTGGCCACCTGGAGGGTTACCTGTACCACCCTGACTCCATTGTCCACATTGCCCGCGTTGACCAGAATGTGGCCAGCAGGGTACTCCCTGGACACGACACCAGCGATCACTGCAGGATCCACACAGTACTTCTGGCCAACGGTACGCATCACGGGTTGATATCGCAGGAGGTGCGGCATATCTATTTCCGCCAGCCTTTCAGAAGCACGAACTCCTAGTGCAAACACGGAAGGCAAGGTGTAGCTGGGTGTGACGTATGCTGTTTTACCCAGTAAAAGCCACATCCATCAGCTACAACAAGCACATGATGCGAGGTTGAAATTCTCCCAAACCCTTCAACAAGTCCTTGGAGAGCTGACAGGTGTGCTCGCTCTAGCCTGCCTTCCCACCCTACAGCGACACCAGGAATCACGTGTGCTTAAACCTTTACGAAGTACCAAGAATGCTGGGCAAAGTGCAAACCAATCCTCATTTACCTGGCAAACCCACCTAACCTTCTAAGCATTTCTGTGGTTGCAAAAGCACTCTCATGCACACTCCTGAACAGAGTGTGCAACAGCACTGTACAGTAAGTACAGTTATCCCCACTTCAGCACAGGCTTTGGGGGAGCTAAGTGACTTGAAGAAGCAGAGCCAGCACTCAACAAGGTCTTCAGACTCCGCGTCCAGTGCTCTTTCCACCACTCTGGAGCGTGGAACCGTGGGAAACAGTGCGGACCAAGAGGGTATGTTGAGAGGATAAGAACCTGTGGGGAATGACTGGGAGAAAAGGGCAGGGACCCTGTTGAAGCCAGCCGTGCCTAGAGGAGTCACCTTCTGAGAGAAAGGAAGAAGGGAGGAGGGCGAGGCGGATAATGAAATTCTAGCTACCACAGTAGTTCAGGCCTCGGCGTCTTCCAATCCCACACGATGCCCCCGGGGTGTCGAGGGTTCCGATGTTTCCATAGCATCCCCAGTTGCCACTTTCAGATGAGTCTACAAATTGAGAAAATGTTTACCTAAGACAGTGAACCAGAGTAGTTCTGAGCATCCTTCTGCCCGAGAGTGAAGTGACATGAACAAACATAACTGGACTGAGATCAGTGACAAGAACCACACTCTGCAATGGAAACCCTTCTGAAATGTGTAGTATAATGACGAAGAAGTGACCACAGAACCTCCTTGATACTAAATTCTCACCTCACAGCCTGCAGACTGAGGAACTGTTGGAGAGGGTCTACTCTTGCCAAGTTCTGGGGCTGTCCAAAGCTGCTGCATGGGTGTCCTGATGTCAAGTCCGAGACTGTGCATCCCCTGTAAGCTAGTTCTCATCTTCCATTTTCTATGGACTCTCAGCACTTCTCCCTCTGATACCCCCAACTCCTTGGTCTGGTGAGAAACTGTTTGCTCTGGAGAAACAGGTAGAAAGCCTGGGCCTCCCTGGGATCTCAGCCCAGACCCCAGCTTCTCCGCTCCCAGTGCACGTCTGTGTGGGTACTTCAGACGCAAAGAGGGGGAAGGCACGTGGCTAGGTTCGAAGCCGGGCCCCACGTGGGGCTCCCTCTTTCCACTTCTTCCCTTGCTCTCTTTGCCTTTATTTTCTCTTTCCTTAACGACCACTCTCATTCCTGGCACTGAAGGGGCGGGAGGTTTTACACACTGCTGGGTTTCCACAAAGACGACTTGAGAAGGACATTCCCGAGGATTCGCCATCCACACCAAGGGAGGGCATACACGCAGGTCACAAGACACCCGCAGGTGGCAGGACTTGCCCTGAGGGCCTCATCTCACTATCATAAGCCTGTAAGGACTTCTCATTAGATTACTCTTTTTTTTTTAATTTGTTTTATTCGTTGACAAAAGTGGATTATATCATTAAATCTTAATGATTTGCAGTTCTTTGGAAATATGTCTGTGGTGTATCATCCTATTTTTACTGCATGTTCACTACATGTATTTTAAGGTTCTCTTTTCTCCTAAGAGCTTCACCGGGTCGACATCTGAGAACACTAGTACTTTGGAGCACATGCTTCTACTTTTCAAACTTTTGATGAGTAATCTAAGAGAAATGGGAAAATGAAATGACTTGGTCTTTTATGAGGATACTAAAAGTTAATCAGGACGCTCTATTCTTCTAATTGGTGACACTGCCCTTCCGAGCAGCTAGGTGTATCCTCACTCCCCGCCTCCCAGCCGCGCCCTAGCCTCGTTCCCTGTTCCTCAGAGCTCTTTACACTCTCTTCCCAAAGGTCCTTTGAGAAATCTTCAAACATTTGTTGAATGAAGGGGTCCACAAATAAATGAATGAATGTAAGACTGACTCCACCTGAGAAATTTTTAGAATTTGAAGACAGGGGGAAATTTTGCTTTTCTTGAAGAACTATGCTTCCTCCCTTTATCTAAAACCAAGTACTTTCCCATTATTTTACCCCAGCTACAAGGAAACAAGACCAAATCTGAAATTCAAGCATTTCAACCGTAGCAGCCTGGTAGTTAGCTTAGACACATCTCCTTGACCTCCTCGATGCTAGTTTTCTACCGAATTACATTAGTCTTTTTATGGTAAGCTGCCTCGATCCTTCTGTGGAAATATATGCTCTGTTAATGAATTCAACAAATACTTTTGGTGGAAGAGTTTCTATAGAGAAACAATGAGCAATTATCAAAGTCCAGCTCCAAGCAACGCTATGTCAGCCCCTCCCCTCCACCCCCCAATTCTGGAAAAGGCCCTCCTTTTGTGGGGCACCAGGAAGAGGCTATTCCTACTCCAGGATCTGGCGAGCAGCTTAGGAAAAAATAACATTTTTCACTGCAGTTTTACGTATCAGAAGTACCACTATGATCCTATGTGTATCCTTCCCAGCTCCAAGGTCATTTGGGAAAAATGAAACACACTCACCAGGAAGGACAAGGAGGCCCAGAAGCAGCCACAGCACAGACATACTGATGATCTGACTCCACGGGTCCTAAAGTGATTTTAAAATACAAATTAGCTCAAAGATGCAAAAATATCAACTGTCATCACACAGTATGTAATGTTTCTGTGGAAAGGTATGAAAAAAAAGAGAACACGTTCCCCATGTTTCAACTGAGAAAATGAATGGTTTGAACCATAATAAAAAAACAAAAGCAGAATGTGTGCTCCATCCATCTTTTCAATTGGCTTAAAATTACGAGACTCCTGCCCTGGCCTGTTTGGCTCAGTGGTTAGGGCGTCAGCCCACAGACCAAAGAGTTGTGGGTTCGATTCCGGTCAAAGCCACATACCTTGGTTGCGGTTCGATCCCTCGTCCTGGTCGGGTTTGTGCAGGAGGTAACCAGTCAATGTGTCTCTCTCACATTGATGTTTCTCTTTCTCTCCCACCCTCTCACTTATCTGAAGATAGATGGAAAAATGTCCTCCAGTGAGGATATAAAAAAAAATGATGAGACTCCTGTTCAGCCCACGGGGACCAAGAAACTTGACCTCAGCATCGAGAAGCATGGTGACCTGACTCCAGATCCCAAGAAGCAAGTTACTGAAATATGTGCCTGTTCCCAATAGCCTCATTATTTCAAAAGGTAACACCTATAAAAGAGAAAAATTGTGTCTGTGTTTCTCTTAATTTGGGTTCTTCCTTCAGGTTAGAGGAAAGGTTACACTCGCCTCAGTGTCCTGGAACATATTCTTTGCTGTGGTGGTTGGAAGGAGTTGGAAGACAGTGCCCACCACTCTAACCCCTAGCCTAGGAGCTCAGACCTCCTTGGCCACCTTGAACCATGTTCCCCTTCCCCCTCTGTAAAACTCCTGGGCAGCCTGGCCAGTTTGACTCTGGTAGAGTGTCAGCCCACGCACCAAGGAGTCTCGAGTTCGATTCTAGTCAAGGGCATGTACCTTGGTGGCGGTTCATTCCCAGCCCTGGTCAGGTCGTGTGGGAAGCAACCAGTCGATGTGTCTCTCTCATGTTGATGTTTCTGTCTCTCTCTACCTTTCTCTACCTCTCTTTCCCTAGGCCACTGCCCGGGGTCGGGGGATGGAGAGCAGACTACTTCCACCAGCAAAGTCAAGTCCCCGTGAAGTCAGGGCATAGGCAGGGGTCCAGGACTGAACTCCCAAGGTGCTCGCTGCAGGGGAACTGACACTGGCCACTGTCAAGCACCAGCCCTCACAATTGCTCTCGTGCACTTTCTCTGTCATCCAAAGAGCCTAGTTCCCCACTAGCTACCAAATGCCACCCAGCATACTTTGCAGTTGACCCCGGGGAATGCTGGAGGAGCAGGCCACCTGCTCCTAAATCCAGGGTGTTCCCATCACCTCTCTTGGTCAGCTGAGTCTGGCTACCGGTTATTTAGAATTATTACTATCGATCCAGGTAGGAGTATGCAGTGAAACATGGCAATGTTTGTGTTTCTCTTAATTTGAACCAGTTTGGCCCAGCAGGTTGAGCACTGATCCATGGACCAAAGGGTCTTGGGTTTGATTCTTGGTCAAGGGCCCCTACCTGGGTTGCAGGTTTGATCCCTGGCCCCAGTTGGGGTTGTGCAGGAGGCAATGTGTCTGTCACATTGGTGTTTCTCTCTCTCTGTCTCTCTCCCTCCCTCCCTTCCACTCTATTTTACAAGCCAAAAGTCAATGGAAAAATATCCTCCAGTGAAGATTAACAAAAACAAAAACAAACGAACAAAATCACATGGTATTCATCACTTTTCATAATACTTTCCTCATCTCTTTGTTTCAAGGTTGTTCTTATGAGCGGTTTCTTCCAAACACCCAGAGAGATTACATCTCAAGACAAAGGAGAGTTTGTGAGGTGTGTACTAGACTTATTGGGGGAATCATTTCATAAGTCTAACCTCTATGCTGTACATATGAAACTAATATAATATTGGATGTCAACTACAATTGAAAATTTTTTCAAACTTAAAAACCAAAGCCAAAAAAGATGAAGAAGAGGTAGTAAGGAAGACATTTGAATTAAGTATTCCTACACGAGGGGTCGTGTTCTCCTCAGACATGGTCATTTTGTTTTCTTCCCTACAACATGGGCATGCTCTACCTGGTTTTCCTTAGTTGAGCAGAAAATGTCATGCTGAGTCCCAACACCAAAAGAATACAGGGACTTGAAGCTGTAGTAGGTCTGCAGGAACTCTTGGGTTTACTCACTCAACAGGAGTCATTTATTTAGCACCCACTGAGCCCCCTGCACTGAATGAGAGAGGACACCAGTCCAAGGAAAAGGAATGGAGAAAGAGCCACTGGAGCTAGGGAAAGATCAGAGGAGGTTCCCCTTTACAGAGGCTTCTCCCTGGCGTTATGGGAAGAGCCCTGCAGAAAAAAGTACTGCTTGTATCCAGATGCTAATCCCAGGGCATTTTGCTGCTTTTCTGGGGGGTGGAAAGACTTCCTCTTGGAAACCCCAGTGGAAGAATGGGACATGAAAGCTACCTCATTCTCCAACCAGAACTATATATCTGTTGAGCAAGCAGGTGATTAGGAAAAAGTCTAGGTAAATACACAATTACTTAAACACAGAGTTCCTTTCTGTCATTTTTCCCATTACATCAGAAAAGAGCCAGAAGCAATAATGGACATAAATTCTACATGTTGATACAAGCCAAGCTCCATGACCAACTTTACAGGTGCCCGAAAGTATTCTGTGTGTAGAAGGGATTGCTCGGGCATTGCGGGAGTGTGTTCAGGGAGGGTTCGTTGGTTACCTGTGACTAATCTGTTAATACCCTGGTGGCTCCCAGCACTTGAAACCATTATTAAAATGCATGGCCAAGGGCTCATGATGCCCACCCAGCACCGTGTCTATGGTGGCATCCATCCTCTCCCTTCCTGGAGAGCAAAACTGACAAACAGCATGCCAGTGTCAACAAGTTGGGCACCCTGGAAACTGACAACCTGACCCTCCCTTGGGGACAATTCAAGTTCACCTCTCTCCACTGAGTACTTTGCAATTCCCACAGCATCATTTAGATTTGTTTTGGAAAAAGTGGAAATAAAAGTCTTTGGTCTTGCCCTGGCCGATTTGGCTCAGCGGTCGGAGCGTCCACCTGTGGTCCAGAGAGACCCAGGTTCGGTTCCCGCTAAGGGCATGTACCTCGGTTGCAGTTTGTCCCCGGCCCTGGTTGGTCGTGCGGGTGGCAGCCACTCGATGTGTCCTTTTCACATCGATGTTTCCCTCTCTCTCTCTTCCTCTCTCTCCCTCCCACTCTATCTGTACAAAAAATGGAAAAATGTCCTCGGGTGAGGATAAAAAAAAAAAAAAGTCTTTGATCTTTGTAGTTCCCCCACCATAGGACCCTTGTTCCCTTTCCACAAACACTCCCCCAGATCTTCGCCATAAACCTTGATCCATGCCACCCTGGTCCGTAGGGCCCTCCAGCCAGCCTGGAATGTGTGCTGTCCTAACCTCCTGCCATGCTGGGAGATGAAGGTGGCTGTGTCCCTCTGTGGCCCCCGTGTGATCCTGGAAGAACTGGGAACTGCTGCACATCCGCATCAGGCACAGTCTCTTGCTCTGTGTTGTATTGTCACCCCAGTCTGTTGCTACCTTGTCTTGTTCCTCGCTCGCTGTGGGCTGATAGGCCTTTCCATCACATCTTAGTCCTGCACCCTCTCGCTGTCCCATTCTTCGCCTCCCTCCTCTCACAGTCCACGGCACCCCGGCCACTGCCTCGCAGACGGCCATGCAACAGGCCTTAAATCAATGACAGTCACAAGTGTAAAATGTTTCCGCCACTAGGATCACACACCCTGGAGAAAAAAATCTAACTTTCGAGAGTAAAATATATGTCCCCTTTAAACTCACTTTTTGCAGAGTTGCATTTTCACATGGTCTGGGAAAATATACATTGACTGAAATTAGATTGTGGGCAATGATGATCAGCCCAGAAAAGTTCAGAGGTTTGATCGCTTCTCTTCACACTGCAGGCAAGTCCTTTCCGTGTGGAGAGACCGGGAGGGAGCACCTGCTCTCTGCAAGGCCTCTGCCCGCCTTCCTCACTGTGCCCATCTGCAGTGCCCAGAGAGGAGACACCAGGACGGCTTCTCTCCGGGGGCTGAGCACTGTCCTGGGAATACCCCACTCTGAACAAAGATCAAGTCAAAGACACCATGGCCTCTCTGTTCCATCCAAGGCTCCTGAAGTTTGTCTGCCAAGCTTAAGCTGTTGGACATGTTGGCCTTAGTTCTTACACAGCTTCCAGAAGAAAACATGACTCTGTTAAGGATCCATCATCTAAGGCTTATGGGGTTAACGTAACTGTCAGGAGTGAGCGTGAGTGTGGAGGAGGATTACCACCTGCCAAAATGCTAACACATCCGTCCTTTGGCTTAGAATTAACAACGAAAAAAGACATCCCTGTGGCCTGTACAGCTTCTGCTAAATGCATACATATTTCTGTTCTCCCAGTCTCACTAAACCGAAAGTATATACTTACATTAAAATAAATCTAAATTTTATAAGTATTGTAATGGACAGGAAAACAATTATTCTATCATGTGCATAATCTTTTATAACTTGTTTTCCTTGCAAGTTCCTTTAGTTTTATCTGACCTCAACTTTTCTTGTTTCCTCAGCAGCAAAGACACAACCATCCTCAATCAATCACCACAGACTGGATTTTTTGTCCTAGATAAGCCTGGGCAGAAATTTCAGGACTGTTTTACACTCACCTGTCTTCACTTAGCTCTTGTCCTCAGGGGCAGACTGGCCACCAACGCTTTATATACAGTCCCTGTCCTGCTTCCTCTTTTTAAGTGTTGACTTCATCCTGTTATGAAAAGATTTATGGTTTTTACAAATTATAGTAATAATTATAATAATTACAAATACTTTGAACTTATATAATGTCTTCTATTCAAGAATGTCCTGGCATTTGTGCAAACATTAACCAATTAGCTTCTTACCACACCTCAGGGGGCAGATCCTAATTGTTACTTTCAGGACCAACA